TGGGAGACAGACAGGCAGGACTGGAGAGATGTATAGACCTTTATAAATTAGGGGGTGGACTCAGGACTTTGGGGAACCCCACTCTCTTGCTTCCAGGCTCTGTTCTCCACTGTTAAAAAAAAAAAAAAAAAAAAAAAATCCCTCTGGTTTGGAAGAAGGCAATCAGTGCCTTTGTCATTACTTCAAAAAGCTCCTTCAGTTTAATGTCAGCGTTGCCAATTTTCAGTGCAGCACAGCTGCAGCTTATGGCTGTCAAGCATGCTGAAAAGCAACTGATATTTTGGGGATCCTCATGTGAACAAGAGGGAGGACTGCGTGTCTGAATATTAACATATAGCACTGCTTTGATACTGTGATATTGGGTTGATTACTCCTCATACTCGGAATTCAATATTTATGCACACATCATATGAAAAGGAGGTGGTTTGGGGTTTGACCAAAAACAGTGTATGTTTGGCATCAGGGCAAATAGTTAAATTAGAAGTAAGGTATGCAACAGTCTTGTGAAGCACAATGCATTATTCTCGCATAGAAACTGTGTCTGAATCAATACAAAGATCATGAATTTAGTTATGTAAATATTTCTAGGAAAACCAGGAAGGGTACTCCTTGCCCTTGCCAGTAAACCAGATGCACTGGCAGGGAAGAAAAAAAAAAATCTTTCTTGCTTTATTCCTTCTGTGCTGACAGCTGATTGCATGGGCCACAACAGTGTGAGCTGCTCCTTTGCCAGTGTCCTTCTGATTTGGGGATACCTGGAGGAGCAGGTGCTAGTGAGCATGATTTTTGTGGTTTCTTTTTTTTCTCAGAGAGGTCTTACCTAGTGTTAGTTTGACCTTTGAGGCAAAGTGAATGTGTTAGAGAGTTCCTTCTTTGTGTCCTTGCAACTCAGGTGAATTTCCAAAAATGTTCGTGTTCAGTGAACACTTGCAATGAAGTTCCTCCAATCAAATTCTGTTGACTTCTCAGTATGTTGGCTTCAATAGCTGAAATCCAGGGCTTTTCCTCCTCCCTGCTGTCTCCTTCTGTTCCTTCACAATGAGGAGGGGAAGAGAAAGGAGCGTCAGAAGAATTTCCCAAACAGAGCAACTCCCAGTCGCAATTTTCCAGGGCTGCTTCATTTCAGAAAACAAAATGCACTGAAAACAATTTGATTGCAAATACACTGGTGACTCTGTATGGTCCTTGTTACCATTTAACAAAATACCTGACCACAATGTGCATGTTAGGGGTGCCAAAATGGTGGTGCCTCACCTACAGCTTACATTACTTATTTAATAACTTGCATTTGCATATTTTTAATCAAATATAAATGTACTCAGAACACTTGCTTGTACTTGTATCTGCCCTGACAGATGGTTAGGAATTACTCACTGCCTGAGTTCACCAGTCAGCGGAACCTTTGATCAGAAGTTGGTCAGTGCTGTCCACACATTTTTCCAAGGAGGGTGACAAGCAAGCAATGCGTGGGTCTCAGTGGGCCACATGCATTGGTTGCCGACTATTGCCATTATAAAGCACATTTATGAAGGTAACATAGTGTCTCTGAAGTGGCATCAATACCTGTAAATAAAGTTGTTCCTAGTGTGCTTTACAAGGAATACTGATACTGTAAAAATGTTTACAGTAATTAGTTAAGCTTTTTGCCCCAGCTGTTTGCATTTTTATTCCCTGTTTAAGCATAGCAGGCACAACTGTCCAATATTAGTAAATGCAATGAGGCTGTAAAATACCATGCATGCTGGTGATACATGGGTTTTGATCCAGAAAATGCTTGCTGCTCGTATAGCTGCTTTTCAGAGTTAGTACCATAAGAGCTGATTCAAGGTTTTGAGATATCTTTGAGTCCCCCAACCCCCTTAAGGACTACCCCAAACTGAATTTGGTGTCATGAGCATGCAAGCATCAACAGTCTCAGGAGCAGTTCAGTAGCTACAGCTCAGTACTGTTGCAGGATTGGACCCCTCTTTAGGACAAAGATTATATCTTGATCTATTTATTAAATATTGTGTAATTTTTTCTCATTCTGTGTGAGTTTAGTAATAGAAAACATCAGTGATAAACCAGTATATAAAGTATCTGGTCAGTGTGTGCAGCAGAATAAAAGCTTTTTTATTTCAGTCTTTTGTAATTGGAATTACTTTATCCTCTTGTATGAAAAATAAATATCATAATAAAAGGAGATTCAGTGTATCCTTAAGTGTCAGCTCATTTTTGACCTCCAAAAAGAAAGGGGAACAATGAGGGAAAAAAATGCAGTATTGTTGTCATAAAAGAGAGTGTGAAGCGGATCAAGTTCTATATGTCTCAGGGAAAAATGGATCAGAACTGCATTTATTGAAGGCCTGCTGAAGTTATCTTCAGTATAAAATTTCATATTACATTTCAGGAGTAAAATCTGGTCACTGCAGAAATCAATGGCAAAACTGCTACTGAGGTTGCTAGGGTGGGGGTTCTCTGTTGTACAGGTTTATCTGAATTTAATTCAACATATGCGGAAACTAGGCTTTACTAGAAGTCCAAAATAGAAAATATGGTGAAATAGCCATCTACTGGGGAAATGGCCGAGACTTCAACCATCAAAAAGCAGATACCATTTGAGAAGTCCAGAGACAGTGGAGTTAGAGCTGTCTGTGCTGTCAGCTTTGTTTTTAATCAGGTAGGATTTATGCTGTAGACAGAGACTTCCAGGAAGGGGCTATGGTATCTGGACTGACTTTTCTTAATCAGGAAGGTTAGGAACTGGTCTAAAATGATGTCTACTGAAGGAACTGGTCTAAAATTATGTCTACTGAAGCATCAGTAACACTGATAGAGTCTGTTTAGCTGATTGTCAGCTTCCCAATTCACTGCTTTGCAGATACTGTGCAACTTATAGTGAATAGCTAGAAAGGCTGAATGCATATTCCAACCCAGTGGAGTTCTGGCCATTTCCAATGTGAAAGCTGTGTGAAATTGCATGCACACACGTTGGGCTGCACTAAGACCTCCTTCACTGGTTTTACCCTGCAGGGATTAGTAGACGATACCTATACCCATGCCTGAAAATAGGATCAATTTAGTGACCCTGAACATCAGCCTTATGCTCATGTTCAGACTTAGTTGATAGAAAAGGTTGTCTGGGGAGGTGGAAGAGGCAATAGGAGCAGACCCTTTGCATCCTCTGAATCTTCATGATTTTAACAGTCAGGTTCCCATTGTACAGAAATAATTTTGATACAGAGACACAGAGAACAAGGGAGCAAAATGATCGGTGTGCTCTTTAAGTATTAACTGCTTGAAAGTAGCTGTTCGTTGCCATTGCCACTTCAACTGATCAAAAAGGGGGGGGGGGGGGATTAAAAGGTGGAAAAATATTTCTCTCCTTTTTATCCCTTGCAGATTGCTTACTCCATGGATGTAAAAGCATTTTTTTCTCATGTTCAGGGCTGTGCCTGAAGGCCCAGAGTGGATTGCTAGAATCTATAAGAGCTTTTAATATATATTAGGGGTGGGTTTTTTTTAGAATCAGTGCCTACTCTTGATCAGGATTTTGCTTGTCCAGCAGCGTAATAAAGACTAGAAATATAGCAGTATATTAGGAAACAGGGAAGATTTTTTTGTTGCTGATTACACAGGGACTCTGCCCCTAAAATCTGTGTTCGGACAGGATAGTCATTGCCTATTCAATAAGATCACTCCTAGTTGCAGTGCTGGCATAGTTCTCAGGCTGATTCCGAGAAATCACACCATCCTTCTTCGGGGAAGGGAGGAATGCTCTAGTAGTGAAGAAGCAAACACGCCTTAGAGAGCTGAGTTCAGCTGCCAGGTCTGCTGGTGTGTCACTCGGTCGCTCTCTGCATCGATTCCTTGTTTGTAAGATGAGGACCCCCTCACAGGGCTGTGTGAGAGTAATGCTACCCAAGATCATAATGTCTCAGGGCCTTACAGTGATCCGTATTTAAAATAAGATGATGTGACAATTCTGTTTTAGTAAAGTTCTATTATGCTTGCTTAATAAGTAGTTAATCCAGTCATATAGAATTTAGATAGCCAGTATGTTTCTTGAAATTATACCTTGCCTTTGGTCACCTCTAGTATTTACTGATGTGTCTATACACCAGAGTTCTTGTGACTGCCAGGGTATCTGCTGCTGAGTGAAAAACCTTTTGGGCCTTTGAGAGCTTTTAGGCTGCATGCCATGGAGCCAGGAGTGACCTAGGGTTCTAAGTGTGTCTGTGCTCCATGCTGCTTGGCTGGAGGTGCTGTAAACCCACGTGTCTGTCATACCTGTGGAAGAAATATGGAAGCTTGGAGGATTCAAGGGCTTTAGAGTTCTGAAGGTTTCAGCTCAGCTGGGATTTCTTGTCTGTTCTTGGAACTTCAAGTTGACAAGCTGTTGGGCAAGAGATGATGAGGGCTTATGGGCTCATATCTACATTACTAAGAAATATAGGAAACTATTTCATAATATTTCTTTCCAAATTTTGAACATGAAAAAAATTTTGAACTCTTTTGTTCCAAAAAAATGAAACAGTATTTTCCACATGAACTGTGGGATATCCTGCAGAATAGGAATTTTGTCTGGTGATCTGCTCTGGTGCAGCTTTATCTAAACTAATAAAAGGACCTGTTATCCTGGGATGGAAGCCTTTTTATTTCAATTCAAACTGAGATTCAGGAAGGTCAGTGTCGTTGCAACTGAAGGATAATAGGAAAAGGGAAGGGCTGGGAGAAAATCTTCCTGAGATTTGAACAGCGTATAACTGGATGGATCTTCATTGCTTGAAAGAAGAGAGTCTTGGTTTTTATTTTCTCTTGTCTCGAGTAATGTTCTGTGTTCTGAATTGCTTTGTTTATTATCCGTTAGACAGGAGAAAGTCTACAAATTGTCTCTGTAAGAGATGTTAATTACAATTGACACAATCTCGCTGTCATAAACCATAAGCTGTTTTCCTACTGATTAAGGTATTATGTGTTTTTCAACCTGCAGGAAACGTTGCTTTCCTTTGTTCATTATCTCCTGCAAGATGATGAGTTCTAATCAGGAGGAGGTCACTTTGGGCGCTTTTCTCCAGTATATTGAAGATATGGGGATGAAGGCCTATGATGGCTTGGTTATACAGAATGCATCAGACATTGCTCGAGAGAATGATCGCATGAGGAATGAAACAAACCTGGCTTACTTGAAAGAAAAGAGTGAAAAACGCCGAAAACAAGAAGAAGCAATAAAACGGTAAATATTTTGATAAAAAGATGAGTGGTCTGGCAGAGTGAATGGACAGTAAGGGGCTCAGTCTCAGATATGGTAAATATGTGTAGACCAGTTGATTTCCAAGCAGCTTGATGGTAAAAGCAGTACAGACCATTGGCCCATGCCAGGCTGCTAATTGCACGCGTTTTACATAGTGTAGATACAATGCTGAATGGTTCTGCCTCCCTTAGTGGAAGAGAGTCTTCCCATCCAAATGTATTTGGTTTAAGCACATGTGGTATCTTCAGCAGGTGTGATTTGTAACAAAAAGTTTAGGTGTTTGGAATAGGAGATGTAGATCTAATGGAAAAGAGGTCCTCATCCACTCAGTGCTTTTAGATGAATGGTGTGTACTTTGTGCAAAGATGTGTTGGTGTGTGAGCTCTTGCAAGACAGGGACAGCCTCACAGATTCAAGATAGACTCTCCTTGAGTGGATGTTTTAAATCTGGTAAATTTTCAAAGCTCTCTAATTGTTGTCTGAGGTTTTACAAAAAAAATGTCTTGTTATTTATGATTTCCTCACCATTCTGCATGTTCAGAAGTCAGTAAAAATATTGCAATCATTTAAAGGAAAATGGATCAAGCCCCTGATGGGCAGAACCCTGTAATGGCTCTTCTTGAACAATTCCATCGATTTTAATTGACAGTTAATGAGAAGAGCACTTGCATGACCTGGCCTCTTGTGCCAATGGATAGCAATGAAATCTCTGCAGCTTCTTGGAGATGAAAAGAAGGTTGAATGGGATAGATACAGATATTTATTATATATACATTTGCATGTACAAAAATTGCATTTTCTTGAGGAGAGGGACAAATTGTGTAATACAGGTAAATAATCCATCCAGATGCCAAACTTTTTATGTGCAAATGGGTGGCTTGAGCACGAACTGATAGGTCCTTTGAATTTTTTCCCCCAGTGTGAATCTTCTGTATTTGAGTTTAAGTGATTACATTTTATGCTGTGTTTTGGGTACTGTACATCCAGGTATAACAGACATGCTGTGCTGGGAACGTTCCAGCAACACCTTGCTAGCCTGGTAATTTTGATGGAAAGTTTAACACAAAAGAGCAGCACATATGGTTTGACAGAGGAGGGAGAAGCAGCAATGTAAAGCAAAATTATGGCTACTTTATGTTCCAGGAAGTAGAATTTTTTTGGATTGTCACTAATTTGGTTGGGGAGAGAAGATTACTGTGGAATTAAAGTGAATAATGAGAGACCATACAATGTGTATTTTAGTACCTTCTAGACTATTATTTTGTGAGCTCAACTTTTGGGTGATGTTTAGAGGCATTCAAATTATTGGGGAGTGAAAGGCATAGACTGCTTGTAACAAGAGCTATACTACTCACAACATCACAAAAGAAAATGTTTTTACTTGCAACACACCGATGTAGAAGGGGGATTCTTTTTTATCTTGATTTATGCTGGATATGCATTTTGTTTCAGTTTTTGCCATCTTTGTTTAGTATTCATTTCTCTCTTTTGATTATTGAATAGCTACATAAACTGCAAAATTTCCAAGAGGAAAAGATAGGGAGAGCCATCTCAAAATATTTCTTATGATGGAGAGGGAAGTTAAGTTCTACTTACATGAAGCAGAGGAAGAATTTGTATGTGTCTTACCTGCTAAGTGAGCGCATCCAAAAATGCTAGTCAATAAATTGCTGTTTTAAAGTAGTGAGATGAAGAGTACTTTCTCATCTTACATTGCTGGCTTTTCCCTCCTGAGGAAAATAATAATAATAAAAAAACAAATTTGTAAACATTCTGAATGTATTGAAACTTCATTATTTGATTAATTTAAAATTGGCTGGAAAAATAAATTCCCCAGTCCTTGTGGCAACTTCTTCATTTGATGATAAGCTATGTTAAACTGTCAATGTATACAGATGGATTTAGCATATAGTCTTCAGAGTTGACAGCTAATTAGCCTGTGCTCTGGCTAACCTGTTTACATGCACTTTAGTATGTGTGACCATAAAGGTCACTAAGTGCCAGAACACTTAAGTTTCTTGAGGCACGAGAGAATAAGTTGTAGATCTACTTGGTTCTTTGTAGTCCTGTAGCCAAGCTTCTCTGCCTAATTTGAATGGCGGTAACAGTATTTCCTACCTTGTGGTTGGTTTGTGTGGTTTTATTTATTGATATTGGCAAAGTGATTTCACGAAGAGCTCTGGATAAGTGCAGATGATTTAGGGCTGACCCAAACCGTGAAGTTCTTCCTCATGCTGAACTGAGATCACAGAACAGCGCTGTGCCCCCCAGATACAGTCAGAAGACACAAGGAAGATGACCAGCAATATAGCCGGTTTATCAGAGGAATGTATCAGTGTATATGTAAGTGGACTGGGGGCATCAACACTTCTTGCATACAGTGCTTTTCCATGGGAAACCACGTTTGCAGTCATCCCCTCTACTCCCTCCCCACTTGGCATATCTCCATAACATTGAGGGGGTAAACAATATCCATCTGAGGAAACAAAGTAGGAAAAACACCTTAGGAAATCTTGGAAAATGCTGTCTTTGAGTCTTTGTCTTCTTCCTGTGTAAACTTGGAGAGGGAAAATGAGATATTTGTGATCAACCCTTGATCGGAAAACTAAAAGCAGTGGCAGACCAAGGGAGAACATCTGATTTGACTGAAGGAACCATGATGATGGGGAACAAACAAGAGGAGTTGGAAGCTATTGTGCTGCTAGAAAGCTACGACCTGATTGCCATTACAGAAACTTGGTGGGATGAAACCCACGACTGGAATGTAGCTATGGATGGCTACAGGCTGTTCAGAAGGGACAGGAGAGGAAGGAGGGGCGGAGGCGTTGCCCTCTACATCAAGAAATCGTTACAGTGTGAAGAGCTGACCCTGAAGAATAGCCACGAGCAGGTCGAAAAATCAAAAGACTGATTGTGTCTTGGACTTCCTACAGGTACTACACAGCAAATATCCAGACTTTCTTCTCAGCTTAGCAATGAGATACCAAGGGTTATTCCCCCTCTAATACTTGTGTTTGAAAGTATCAGATTTTCCAGAAAGACATGAAGTAACAAAATTTAGCTGAAGTGCCTAGAACCACCTCTATATAGAACATGAGGAACTGCAAGTGTCATTTAGTCAGTGCTGCTTCCACAGAAAGTAGGCTTACTGTCACACCAGGGTTCAGACCTGACCCAAATTCCCCACAGGAAAACCATTAATCATTAGTAATCTTTATAACCACTAGCAATTACTATAGCATATGCTCTAATATACCTGAGCATTATTGTTTTCTAAGATCTAATTAGTTCCAACAATCTGAGAATGAAACAAAAGGAAAAACCACCACCCACGGGGAAAAAATACATACATATATATGAGCGCAAAGAGGCAATGTTTATTGTATCTGGAACCAGATAGAAATTGAAGGACTGCATGTTAAATAGTATTAAAAATAAGTACAAGAATAGAGGAAAGCACTTGGAAAAGTAGAAGACATGAACTATTCCGCTTCAGCTTCTGGTCAATGCAAAATGAATATTTAGTTGTTCCACTTTTTGTGAAGGAGGGAGTCACATTCTAATACATTCAGGAAAAATGGGTGGTGTCACAGCCTGGTTCTACTTGTCATTTGTAGTTGCAGGCCATACTGAAAGAGAGAGAAACATGAGCCTTACAGCTCCATGCAAGTATGCTCATGCTTTGGCAGAAATATGGTAAATGTGGAAGTGCTGAATACAATTTAACAAGTACTGAAATAGGTGCTGGATGATATTCCTTTTTCCTTTCTTTTGGCCACCCTGGGGAGGGTTTTTCATTTGAAGTATGTAAGAGAATTGACTTGACAGGAGAGCATGTTCATATTGTTCCTAAGGAGTCTCAAAAAACCAGGACTCTTTTGAAACAACCTTTTCTAACTTATATGGAGTATGCCAGCATTGATCTTTGTAGAGCATTATACAAGCTGCGCACCACTTGGCAAATGCAAGTTGACACATGTCCAGAGCCACAGGTTAGTATGTTCCTCTAAAGAAATTTCCTGCAGATAAAGTGGTCATTATGGTCAAAGTCCAGCCACTGTACTGCACCAATAGTTTTCACAGAGGCAGGTCAGAGACAGAAGCTGCTGCTGCTCATGGTGGCACCACTGCCACCTCATTGTGCCCTGTGGGGCTGGGCAGGGCAGCACAGGCTCCCCAGGTGTGCTCCTGTGCCCTGCCTTACTGCATGGGGGCTGACACACTGGACTGCTCCTCAGCACCCAGAAACGTTGTGCAAGCATTTGGAAGAAGAAAAAACCAAGGCTAGTGATGAAAGATCAGGTACAGTGCAAGTGTGCAGGATATAATGATTCAAATTGTAAAAAATCGCTTCTGTTGCTGAATTATTGCCACGGTATATGATATCATAATGAGCTTCCCATTAAGGACTTGTCTTGTGAGTGAGACTTGATCTTGCTGTGGTCTGTGGTATTTAATGATACTCGTTTCTTGTACCAGAGTCTGTTAAGAAAGAAAAAATAGTATTGAATGTCTAAATTGCAGTGACCTACATAGGGAACCCCAGGCACCTGTAGTCTGAGTGGATTTATGGTCATCAGTAACACTGACAATATATTCCTCCTAGTTTTTGCCTGTGGCATGTTCTTCCTGAATATGCAGTGTAATAATCCGCAAACCCAGTATCAATACAGGCTGGGGGAAGAAAGGATCGAGAGCAGCCCTGCCGAGAGGGACCTGGGGGGACTGATGGATGAAAAGCTAGACATGAGCCGGCAATGTGCGCTGGCAGCCCAGAAGGCCAACCGTACTCTGGGCTGCATCAGGAGGAGTGTGGCCACCAGGTCGAGGGAGGTGATTCTGCCCCTCTACTCAGCTCTGGTGAGACCTCACCTGGAGTACTGCGTCCAGCTCTGGAGCCCTCAGCACAAGAAGGACATGGAAGTGTTGGAACGGGTCCAGAGGAGGGCTACAAAAATGATCCGAGGGCTGGAGCACCTCTC